GGATGTCCCCCCCCCCCTTGAGCCAGTCCCCCTTGTTGTTCCCTCCTAGGGAGCGGGGATACGTCCGGCGAAGGATACCGAGAGTCGCTGATCGTGGCATGCTTTTCTTCCTCTCTGGGCCTGGGGGCTTCTCGACACCACGGCTGGATCCGCTGCGATTTTCTGTTCACACACTCGCGCCGGGACACGTCCGGGAACCGATGTGTTCGGCCCCCCGGGGCCCAGACGCGGCTCGGCAAAAGTTCAGACGGCCAAATGTGCGCCATGTTTTTCTCTTTGAACGCCAGCCTCGTACCTCGGGGCCGGGTGCGGAACGTCTTGCAGTGTCTCTGCGCTTGGGCCAACCCAGGCTGCGTTTCCCTGTCGGCGCACACTGCCTTATCCATGCACTCTCTTGCCAGGACTGAGCGCAGCCCTCAAGGCGCACGCGTCTCTGGGGAGCATCCCGACTCAACGCGCAGGCTCTGTCCCCCAGAGTCTGGGTACAGACATCATGGCTCTCTGGACCGACGATCCCTATCACACCAGTGGCGTGCCCTGATTAGTTACTCATTCGCAATTCGTGGCAATTTCCACCGGCCTGCCCAAAACGAATCAGCATCTGAAAGGTCGTTCCGCCCCTCGTGAAACGTGCATGGGGGAATTGCTCATTGCACGCCCCATTGGACCCATGATGCCACCCCGCTGGAGCTCTCATGGGCGCAGCCCGGTGGCGACAGTTGCGCGCCTGGCAGCGGCCCCACCCATGGGGGAGTCGGAGAGCGGGGGGGCTGCAGCCGCTGACAATACTTGCGGTCAGGAACTTTGGCTTAGCGTGATGCTCGGCCAGAGCTGGTCCACCATGCTCTTGCGTGAGAGGCTAGCCACGTCCCCATTCCAGGTCGACGTCGCGAGCCTTTCCGAACCCCCCGCCACGCGGAGCGGGAAGACACGCCATCCGCTTGCAAGGTGTAGCGTGTCGCCGGGGCTGCCGCCGCAACACGCTGTGGAAGAGCTCCTGCCCGCAGCAGGCGGAGCGCGTCGCCGCCGCCCGGCAGCCCAGCAGCAGCCCGCGGGGGGTCGCGCGGGCGTGGGCCACGCGCGCGGAGCGCGCGCGCGCGCCTCGCGTGTCGGCCCGCTGCGGGCATGGACAAGGCGGCGCGGGCCCCCCCCCCAACGGGAGGACGGGGAGGAGGGGGGTATCGACTCAAGCGGCGTGCCCAGCCCCGCCGACTCCCATGGGTGAGGCCTACTGCCGTTTGGGAGCCATGTGAGGGGCCTGCTGGGGCATCTTTTGGGCCTCGTGGGAGCCTTTTGGAGCCTCTTGGGGGTCTGCTGGGCCCTTCCTAGCGCCCCTTAGGGCGGAGGGCTCAAGATGTGGACAAGGTGGCGCGGCCCACCCCCCCAACCGCGGGACGGGGAGGGGGATTGGGGCAGTTATTCTCATGCACAGCTTTGTTTCTAGAGTTCGGCGCGCTGTATGTTCGTCGTCGTTCTCTCGTTCGCCCGTCGCCCCCCCAGGTCACACCGCCCCTGTCTCCTCATGATGGCCATCATGGTCCGAAGAGAAAACCAGGATACCTATACGACCATCTTTCGGGTGATAAGGAGGTTGTGGGGAGGGGAGAGGGGGGGGAACCAACATCTGACTCAATCGATCTCACTATCGATTTCACTCAACGGGACACCACGGGACAGGGCGGGGCACCTCTCGATCTCACTATCCGTCTCATTATCGATCTCACTATCGATCGCACTCAACGGGACACCATAGGACACCACGGGATACCACGGGACACCATGAGACACTACATGGAGACACCTCGGGACACCTGTCGAGCTCATTATCGATCTCACTATCGATCTCACTATCGATCTCACTATCGATCTCACTCAACGGAACACCGCGGGACACCACGGGACACCTGTCGACCTCACTATCGATCTCACTATCGATCTCACTATCGATCTCACTCAACGGGCCACCACGGGACACCACGGGACACCTCGGGGCACCACATAGATCTCACTATCGATCTCACTCAACGGGACACCACGGGACACAACCGGACACCTGTCGATCTCACTATCGATCTTTTTATCGGTCTCATTTTTTGGGGCACCACTAGACACCATGACACCTCGGGTTACCACATAGATCTCATCATCGATCTCACTATCGATCTCATTGCCGATTTCACCATCGATCTCACTATCGATCTCACTCAAAGGGACACCACGGGACACAACGGGACACCTGTCCAGCTCAATATCGATCTCACTATCGATCTCACGTGTTGGGACACCACGGGACACCTCGGGGCACCACATCGATCTCACTATCAATATCGCTATCGATCTCACTCACCGGGACACCACGGGACACCACGGGACATTTTTCGATTTCACTATCGATCTCACTATCGATCTCACTCAACGGGACGCCACGGGACACCACGGGACACCACGGGACACCGCTAGGGCCACCGCCGGACGGGGGATACTCATTTGTTTTGACTTC